TGCTTTCTTGCTCATCCGAACTACCGTTATTCTTCTGGAACGGCCGTACAACCCAGCCGATTACCAGAGAAAAGGAGGAATACGAATTTCAGACTAAGGGAGAGAGAAGAGAGAGAAAGGTATTACCTTTCTGAGTTTTTGGCGCCAAGTATTCGGCTTTTGGCCGCCGATCTCAGCTCGCGAAAACAGAGCCGTCCTATCCGGCGAGCTCGTTAAATTTGCTGAAAAAACCGAAAAGAGCTTCTCGAAATGTACCAGTGGAGGAAATTCGAGTTCTTCGAGGAGAAATTGGCTGGAAAGTGCGCGATTCCCGAGGAGGTGGAAGGGAAGATCGAGTGTTGCTCGAGCGGCAGAGGGAAGGTGGTGATCGGCTGCGACGACGGCACCGTCAGCTTCCTGGACCGCGGCCTCAACTTCAGCTACGGATTCCAAGCTCACTCCTCCTCCGCGCTCTTCCTTCAGCAGCTCAAGGTCAGCCTCCTCTCGCAATATTTTGTCTTGATTTGGTCATTTTTCTGTTTGTTTCTCGGGAAAATATGACAAACGGAAAAACAGGAAAAGAGAAAATTGGAAATTTGTTGAACTTTGATGTTTAATATTAGGATTAGTTTTTAATCTGTTTAGAGAGTGATTAGGAGGTGTGTTAATTTTGCTCTTCTTGTTGTGAAATCAGCAACGCAACTATTTGGTGACAATTGGAGAAGATGAACAAATTACTCCGCAGCAATCGGCAATGTGCCTCAAGGTTTTCGACCTGGATAGGATGCAGTCCGAGGGCACAAGCTCAAGCACAACGAGCCCTGATTGCATTGGAATCTTGAGGATATTCACTAACCAATTTCCTGAAGCAAAGGTAGTATTTGTGCCCATTGGAATTTGTGAACCCCCGAATTTGATAGAGACAATAGGGTTTTGAATCGAGTCATTGTTTATTACTGCAGATCACATCATTTTTAGTTCTAGAGGAGGCACCTCCGATACTGCTTATAGCTATTGGCTTGGATAATGGTTCAATTTACTGCATTAAAGGGGATATTGCACGAGAACGAATCACCAGGTTCAAGCTTCAGGTGGAAATCCATTCTGACAAGAGCCAGTCCTCAATTACGGGACTGGGGTTCAGAGTGGACGGTCAAGCCCTTCAGTTGTTTGCTGTTACTCCATCCTCTGTGAGCTTGTTCATCTTGCAGAATCAACCCTCAAACACAAGGCGGCAGACCCTAGATCAGATTGGAAGTAATATGAACAGTGTTGCAATGAGTGATCGCTTGGTACGCAATTCTACTTCCTTTTTCCGTTGGTGTATGTTTATGTATGCCTTAGCATTTTATTTATTTACTTATTGTGACAGGAGTTGATAATTGGTCGACCTGAGGCCGTGTATTTTTATGAAGTTGATGGGCGTGGACCATGTTGGGCTTTTGAAGGAGAAAAGAAATTTTTAGGGTGGTTTCGTGGATACCTTCTTTGTGTTATTGCAGATCAAAGAAATAGCAGCAACACTTTCAACATTTATGACTTGAAGAACCGTTTAATCGCTCACAGCCTAGCAATCAAAGAGGTTTCTCACATGCTTTGTGAATGGGGTAACATAATACTTATCATGGCTGACAAATCAGCTTTGTGCATTGGTGAGAAGGATATGGAGAGCAAGTTAGATATGCTCTTTAAGAAGAATCTTTATACTGTTGCCATCAACCTTGTTCAAAGTCAGCAAGCAGATGCTGCCGCAACTTCAGAAGTGCTGAGAAAGTATGGGGATCATCTATATAGCAAGCAAGATTATGATGAGGCAATGGCCCAGTATATCCATACCATTGGTCACCTCGAGCCTTCTTATGTGATACAGAAGTTTCTAGATGCACAACGAATCTACAACCTTACAAATTACTTGGAAAAATTGCATGAGAAGGGGCTTGCTTCCAAAGATCATACCACTCTTCTACTGAATTGCTACACCAAATTGAAAGATGTTGACAAGCTAAATGTGTTCATTAAAAGTGAGGATGGTGTTGGGGAACATAAATTTGATGTGGAGACTGCAATAAGAGTCTGCCGTGCCACCAACTACCATGAGCATGCAATGTATGTTGCTAAAAAGGCCGGGAAGCATGAATGGTACTTAAAGATCTTACTTGAAGATCTTGGCCGATATGAGGAAGCTTTGCAATATATTTCAAGCCTTGAACCAAGCCAAGCTGGAGTGACAGTGAAAGAGTATGGTAAGATTCTTATAGAGCACAAGCCTGTGGAAACAATTGAGATACTCATGAGGCTGTGCACTGAGGATGGTGAATCATCCAAGAGAGGAGCCGCTACTGCTGCATACCTGACAATGTTGCCATCTCCGGTTGATTTTCTCAACATCTTCACCCATCATCTTCCCTGGCTTATGGATTTTCTTGAAAAATATACCGACAAGGTCAAGGACTCTCCTGCACAAGTAGAAATCCATAACACGCTCTTGGAGTTGTACTTGTCCAATGACTTGAGTTTCCCATCAATATCACAAGCTGGCAATGGTGAAGATCTTAATCTCAGGGCTAGATCAGGTGCAGCTGCAACATCAAGAAGCCAGTCCAATGGGAAATTGATTGCTGATACCAAAGATTCAAACAAGGAAAAGGACCGTTTTGAAAAGCAAGAGAAAGGGCTACGACTTCTTAAGACTGCATGGCCATCTGACCTGGAATTTCCGCTTTATGATGTTGACCTTGCCATAATTCTTTGTGAAATGAATGCATTTAAGGAAGGCCTATTGTATCTCTATGAAAAATTGAAACTTTATAAAGAGGTGATTGCTTGCTACATGCAAGCTCATGACCACGAGGGTTTGATTGATTGCTGCAAACGACTAGGGGATTCAGGGAAGGGTGGGGACCCCACTCTTTGGGCAGATCTGCTAAAATATTTTGGTGAACTTGGAGAAGATTGCTCCAAAGAAGTGAAGGAAGTTTTGACATATATAGAAAGGGATGACATATTGCCTCCTATTATTGTTCTTCAAACTTTATCCAGAAATCCATGTCTCACACTCTCTGTCATTAAGGATTACATTGCCAGAAAGCTTGAACAAGAATCGAGGCTGATCGAAGAGGACCGTCGAGCAATTGAAAAGTATCAGGTTAGTCCTTACTGCAGCTGTCATTGTGAATTTATCTATTGTACCTCTGTTGTTCATTTCGCCTGCTTCCAGTAAAAGTTGGTTAACATTTTATGTTTCTTATTTACGCTTTCCTTGGAAACTTTTGTAATGGCACGAATGACGAATGTAATCTTGTCAAAGCAGTGTATAGATAATGTTGCATGGGATTCTAGTTAGGTCTGAAACTGCACAGAAAAAAGGGAAAAAATGCTCTAGTAATTTAAATAGCTATGACATGTGCATCACAAATCTAGGGACTTGATCTTTCAACATTCTCGTAACCAGTGTTCTTTGTGGGAAATTGGCATATTATTTAGCAAGTAAAAAACTAATCTGAGGAACTTTAACGTAGAAAATAAGGTTTAAACAATGGAAATTACCAAACATGTTTGGTACGAAAATTGTTCTTTACATGTTACCCCAGTAAGTGAAGCTGAGTCTTTGTCACGAAAGATACATTCAGATACATGATGGTGCTCTTCATGATTTCTGATAAGAATATTACTTTGTGTGTGGGTTACTAAATAAAGTTTTGTCAATAAATAAAATCTGCCAAACAAAATTATACTTCATGCCCTTTAGGTTTCAATCCAAACTATGTGTGGTTGTGTGCGTGTGAGAGAGGTTATCTAATGAATCCTTTCATTGTTCAGGAAACCACATCTGCAATGAGAAACGAAATTCAGGATCTTAGGACAAATGCCAGAATCTTTCAGCTCAGCAAGTGCACTGCATGCACTTTCACCCTCGATCTCCCAGCTGTGCATTTTATGTGTATCCACTCATTCCATCAGCGTTGCCTCGGGGATAATGAGAAGGAGTGTCCTGTATGTGCTCCTGAATACAAATCTGTTCTCGAAACAAAAAGAAGTCTAGAGCGGAACTCCAAAGATCAGGATCGGTTCTTCCAGCAAGTTAAAAGTTCAAAGGATGGTTTTTCTGTGATCGCTGAGTATTTTGGGAAAGGTGTGATCAGCAAAACCACTAATGGACCCACAGGTGCTTCTTGATCGGCAACAGTTCGTCAAGCTGTGACTTATGAGGGCTTGGAACTATGGAAACATGGGATGGAGCTGAGCAACTTTGGATTTTCTTCACTCGGCATTTTCGACTGGGATTGCTGCTGTTGTTCTGTTTCCCAAACTTGGGAGGTTAGTGATATTTTTTGCAGATCAAAATGGTATATCCTGAAACAATTTTGGAGATCTGCATTAACTCCAAAAAGAAACCGAAATTTGTGAGTGGATGTCATTGTTCTTTGATATTTTATTTCTAAGTCAGGAGTAAATGGCATTTTGATTTTGGAAAGGCTAGTGACCTTAGTTCTCCTCGATCTGTTTGCAGCAAAGGCGAGTCCCCAAATTGCTATCTTTGTAGAATGACCATATTTGGTTCCGTTTGAGGATCATTTCATTTTTAACCTTTAGTTTTCATTTCTGTGTTCCGATAACCATTTCGTTTTTAACCCTATACATGCATGCCAGCAGAGAATTGAGATTACAATATTCTCAAATCTAAAGATGGCAAGGACAAAATTAACAGTGCACATATTCACCTCCCGGTCGGTCACCTTGTTCAAGGCTAAAGGTTTGACCGTCTCTAGCTGTGTAATCCCCCTCGTACAGCTCTGATGAGGCACATATCAGTAACAGCTTGAAACAACTGTGTAGTGTGTGCCCTGCCCTCCATATGGGGACTCCCAACCATAACACAACTCACCCTAATGATCCGATGTTAGAACTAATTAACAAAACTAAACCTCGGAGAAAGAAAGATCTGGGTGAAGAATTTCAAATGGCAGGACGAGGGTTCACCGAGAAAATGAACATCTGAACGTAACAAAACTACACAAACATGGTTTCAAATTCATAGTTTTCTTATCTTGCTACACAAACACAATCAAGCATGCAGAACACAAAAGACATGAATCGAGCAAACAACAAAACAAAATTGAAAAACATGTCTGATTACAGCAAAAAAGTTCGTAGCAAAGAAAACTGCAAATTTCCAAATTAGCAGAAGTAAGAGTGAAAATTGGGCGCCACTCATGCTGAATTAGGAGGTGGAAGCTTCCCCAGCAGCACCTGTGGTGAGTGCAAGAATGGAATCTGTTTCCAGTCCAAATAATCCAAGTTGAGGAGCGGAACTTGGAGCTGGGCTGTCCGGGTTGCCCGAGATGTAGTCGATAAGTGGGGCAATGGATCCCTTGGCTCCAATGTCAGCATCGGGAGGCAGAATAATCTGATGACCTCCACCAGTAAGCAGCGCAGGGGCCACGATACCCTTCTTGATCTTCTCCAAATTGCCGTCATGGCATGTAATGGTAACGATGGAGTAGAGTTGGAGCTATAAGACAGAGAAGGGAAGCAATATCAATAAAACAATTAAGAACTGTAAACTAACAGTTATAATAATTATTCAATATACCAGATCATTGAACGGTCTTGATTGTATCAATCTTGGATCGATTCCAAGGGCCTCAGAGTTCAGAAGCTTATATTCAACCATCTCATAACCACCCTCCTCTTCTATATTCTTAAAAGAGATAAAGGTTCTTGCAGTCCCGATACAAACTTCTTCACCATTGTGAAGATGGTTAACACTCTTCTCACTAGAAAACCGCCAAAGGCTCCCCGAACAGTGAACCTCGGGGAAGGATCAGCCTGTTCATCCACAATGGAACAAAAAAGAACGCTTTGTTCTTTTCCGATCGAAAAGAGAAGTTTTCTGCAAAAATAACAGTAAAAATACAATAAATATATACACACATACAGGACTTCAAATTAAAAAGTAGTTAACTGTATACAACAAAAAATAGAACAAATTACCTGGCGGTATAAAAGTGGGATCCGGAAAATTCTTCTTCCCGGAGACAAGGTGTTTGATCATCTCCGCCGTTGGAAGTGGCTTTCCGATGAGCTTGTCGAACAAATAGTAAATCAGGAGAGAGTCAGGCTTGGGCTCAAATTCTAAACCCCACATTTCGAGATCCGTGGTAGTGTTGGACTCCTGGACACTTAGGTCATCTCTAACCGAGGACTGACTAGATAGCTCGTTTTAGCCCTCTGGTCCTTCAAGATATTAATATTTTAATGAACAGTACATGATCATATTTGCCTCCATCTCCAACCGAGGGTCAAAGGGCCATATGACTCGTTTTAGCCCTGTTACAAAAAACCCGAGAGCCAAAGGACCAAACATAATTTATTATTTAAAAATTACAACTTAAATTCAAATCCAACGGCTAAGTGACGTCAGCTGGCCGTTAGATTTGAACCAAATTTTGTAAAATAGAAGTTATAGGAAAAAAATAGAATTTAAAAAAAATATGAACCAAATTTTGTAAAATAGAAGTTATAGGAAAAAAAATAGAATTTAAAGAAAAATATGAACCAAATTTTGTAAAATAGAAGTTATAGGAAAAAAATAGAATTTAAAAAAAATATGAACAAAAATTTGTAAAATAGAAGTTATAGGAAAAAATAGAATTTAAAAAAAAAATGAAATAAATTTTGTAAAATAGAAGTTATAGGAAGTTATAGAAAAAAAAAAAAGCTTTAAATTCATAAAAAAAAATTGAATGCAACGGCTAGCTGACTCGGCTAGCTGTTGTATTCAAAATTTTCATATTATTCGTGTCGGTTATAACCGACACGATTGCAATTAATCAAAATTATTCCTATGTAGCTGTTACTATTCATGTCGGTTATAACCAACAGTATTGCGATAAACAAAATTATTCCTATTGGTTATGTCCAACAGGAAATCGATCAGTTTTAAGCAAAATTCTGGCCAGCTCAGGGCTAGCTGGCTGGAATGGGCTAGCCCTTTGGCCCTTTGGCCCTTTCAGATTTTGTGAGGCCCACGAGCCCTCTAGCTTAACCATCGGTTGGAGACGGTTTTCGGGCTATTTTCGGCCCTCTTACCCTCTGAATCCTTCGGTTAGAGATGACCTTAAGGCCTTATCGTACATGTTGAAATCTGATGATGCTGCCATTAAAACCTATAAAACATCCTGGTATTTAAACCCTTGGGGTCGATTTCGTTGAACATTATAAAGAACCCCATATTTACCCAAATTCAACACAGTTGGAAGTATAAAAACTAGTTCAAACTTGACCTGCACAAATTCATCAGAATTCAACCATATTTACCCAAAACAAATGAAACCCGATCTGAAAAATTAAATAAATAAAAAAAAGAGAAAAAAAAAGAGCATTGAGCTCTTCTTAACCGAGGAAAAAGCAAATGAAAGGGTTTCCTCTCACTTCTTAGATTTGAATTTTATGAATAGTAAATTTGATATCAAATTAGGTTTTTCATTATGTTGCTTGGTATAACTCCCATCTCCTTTTAGCGTAAAATATATCATGGTTGGTTTAAAATGACAATAATTAAAGATGGGAAAAGATGGAGATACCTCCTTTTCTTTTCCTTTTTCGATTTACACGATTCATGATTTGTTCTTCAGCAAGTTAAAAGTTCAAGGGATGGGTTTTCTGTCGCCGAGTATTTCGGGAAGGGGGTGAGCCGCAAAAACCACCAATGGACCACAGGTGCTTCCAGTTCTTCCAGCTGTGACTTATGAGGGCTTGGAACTGTAGAAAAATGGGATGGAACTGAGCAACTTTGGATTTCCTTCCCTCACTCGGCATATTTTCGACTGGGCAGGGCTTGCTGCTGTTGATTTGTTTCCAAAGTTCGGAAGTAAGTGATATATATATATATATATATATATTGCAGATCAAAATGGCATATCCAATCAATTTTATGGATTTGCATTAACTTGAAAAATAACAGAAATTTCTTATTTCTAAATGGAGTAACATTTAGATAAGGAAAATAAACTTGTAATTTGAATAAAAGTCAGAATTTATTAATTGACATACAACAATATCCTTGTTTGGATTCATAAGCATAGAAATTTAGAATTTCTGCATAGAAAAAAAAACTCGGAATTTGAGACATCCAATCCCCAAGTTTAAACTCCTTGTAAATATGTGTCGTTTCCCAATTTCTATGATTGAAAGTTTGAAATTAACAAATTTCACATTCATTTCCATTTTTGTAAGTTAACCAAACAAGAAAATTCACAAATTATATAAAATAAACTTCCGTCATTCTAAAATTTCTTAGTAATCTTAAATTTCTTTATCCAAACAGATTGTAAATGGCATTGTGATTATGGAAATTGGAAAGGCCAGTGATTTCTATCGGTTTTGGAAATTGGGAAGGCTAGTGATTTCTTTAGTTCTTAGTCCTCGTTTATAATCATTTCGTTTTTAACTTTCAATTTTTAATTTTGTGTTCTCATAACTATTTCGTTTTTAACCCTATACTGTGTTCTCAAATCTCAAGAGGAAAAGGACAAAACTAATTTTTGGTGTCAAACGTGAAGGGCGACTTTGATCGATTCTAGAATGCAAACTTAATAGATTAAAAATGATATCCAAAATGAAATGTAAAAATCCATAAAAAAATAAATAATAATAACAGAAACTAAGTGCAAAATTAACTAAAAGTCAGTCACCATTCATCGTCACTCTCCTCCTTCCATGGAGAAGAAGGAGAGGGAGGAGGTGCTCTGATAAACAAAGTATCGAGAGGATCACCCCCGGGCTCCGGAGCATCTAACAGTGCACATATTAGTCTAGGGCCGATAGGGAGATGTCCCGGCAAGATAAACAGCGGATCACCTCTGCTTATAGCCAATGTGGCTACCTTGCACTTCTGTTTCAGTCTCAACTCTGAGTCCTCATCTATGAATTCACAAACACACAATTTTTTGAAAAAACATCCAAGATATAGTCCCGTCACAATCAGCGTTGTAGGCTCAAGCTCCGGATTCAGGTAGTATTCCCGAATTTTAAAGCACGTCTCAGACACTGCCCTCATCGGCCTCCTAAGGTCCCTTCCATAATACCTCCACGTCCGTACATTACCAACATGAACGACAGCTACAGCATCGTCATCACTGTCACTGGACGTTTGAATGTGCACTTGTTCGTTACTAAGCAACTTCCAGTACCCATTAGAAGTTGGCCTTTCTGTTTTAACATCACCAAGAACTACCTCGGCACATATGTAGAAATATGCTGATCGGTTTTCAGCTCCATGACAGAAAAGACCTAAAAACAAAAATAATTAAACGACCAACTCTAAATATTCGATTCTTGCCAAAAACGAATTTGAACCATATTATTACTAACATATTGTGATATAGATAATATTGTTTATTCTAAAAAATTAATGAAAAATTTAGTCAAAATGATCATTTTCCAAATCCAAATTAATGAAATAATCAGTTTTTTAGTATGTCGAGGTTGATATCTGATCGATGTATGATGTGGTTCTTCATTTATTTAATTGCATTTGGGAGGGTTAATCTTACTTGGAGGAATTTGATTAGCATCTGGAGGCATGCCCTTTTGCAAGTCAATGTGTCTGATCACATCTTCCACAGGCGTTGCCCGTCCGGCCAACTTGTTAAATAAATACTTGATCAAGATCGTTTCTGGATTCGGATTGAACGATTCACCTCGCTTATTGAGATCGGCCTCCGTACATGACTCGGTCACTGTGGAAGCAGCAATAATATCAAATGAGTGATCAGTGTTGCTCATTTGTTTCCTCCCTGAAACACGAAAATTGTAATGTCCTCCTGCAAACCCTAACCCTCTGGCAGTTTCTATCTATACACGTAGGGGATTGGAGAGGTAGACTCCTGACCCACCACCTGTTGCGATGGGAGCCAATAATGTCAAGCCACCTAAGCGTTCGGTTCTATAAATTAGCTGACAGCTCTCCACGTAATTAAGATGGGGCTAGGCCCTCACCTCTATATTATACTACTTGATGAAAAACATACAAGAGAAGGACATAAAATAAACCTAGTGTTAGATTACATATTGAAATTTAAAATAAACCTAGTGTTAGATTACATATTGATTATAATCTCTTAATGTGTCCTTAATTCAAAATAATTAATGTGCATTTTATTTAATCTTAAATTTTCTATCTTCCTGTTTGGCTAACCTGTTGCTCCACAATTCATATCTTCCTGTTTGGCTAACGTGTTGGAGCAATCATCTAATGAGGTTGCCTTATCGCCCCCATATTTTTATGTTTCTCCTCCTAGTAGGGCTGCTAACCCATTAATTCAAGATGCTCAATTTGGAGATGATAAGTACACTAGGAATTACCTTTTTCAGTTTTCTATAGTCCACATGTCAAAGTACAATTTTACCCATGTATTAACAGATAGTTAACGAAAAAATCACTTTTGGACTAAATTTGCTAACCGAGTATACCACAAAAGTTTAAATCTAAGTTTTTTTAGCACAGGAGCTATCTTCCGAATATCTTATAACCACATGGATCATTTATCCAATTTGGCATCATCCAAATTCCAAGTTTATTCCCCTCATCCAAACACAAACATCATTAATTATTTCAATAATAAAATATTTTTTTTTTAATTTTTAAACATATTCATTTAGTGTTAGAAATGTTATATTTATATTTATGGCTAAATTTTTATCATATATTTTATTTTTAATTTGTACCAATTTTCTTTTAGGAAAACTAATAAAAATTGTTTGAAAACTTTGAGTTTTAACAATAAGAAAAAAATAAAAGGTAAAGTAAATAGTACCATGATTGATTTTTTAGTGTAACAGTACTGGGTTTTTCGTTAAAGTTCCTTTTTTTTTCAGTTTTTATTTGTACCCATATATTAATTTCTTTTTGTGCCCATATTTTTTAAAGTTTTTTTTGTATTTGTACCCATATTTTTTTACTTGTTTGTACCCATTTTTAATTTTGCTAAATGTACCCATGATAATGACATGTATTTATTTTATGTTTTAAAATATATCAGTAGTTATTTTTTAAAATATGTTAATAATTATGTGGATTCATTATTTTCTTGCTATAATTTTGTGAAGAACAATATTACTCTAATATTTATGTTTAAGTATATATTATATTTTAAAA